CTGGGGGTCCCACGGAACAGGGCCGTGCGGGGAAGGGGCTCCTCCGGTCAGGGACAGTCCGTCGCAGGAGTTCCGCCAGCAGGTACTGCCGGCCCAAAAGGAGGTGTCGGGTGGGGTGTGTGAGTGGTGTGTGTCTGTTTGGGTGCAGAGCGTGAGTACCTTTCACTTGCCACCGACCACCGCTGTGGGAACTCTTGTCCCTGTTTGTTGTAGATACACACAGATAACGTGCACGTTTTCTCTGCCATAGAGAATATGCTATGACTGTGTCATATTCTCTGTGATAGATGAGGTTCTCTATGATACCATATTCATGTTTAGTTTATGGTCATACACCATATAGTCATAAAGTAAACCACAACCAGTGTCACCTCAACGTGAGGAAGAACTTCTCTATGTGAGGGTGGCAGAGCCCTGGCACAGGCTGCACAGGGGGGGGCACAGGCTGCCCAGGGGGGTTGTGGAGTCTCCATCTCTGGAGACATCCCAAACCCGCCTGGACACGTCCCTGTGTGTGTGCCCTGCTCTGGGTGGCCCTGCCTTGGCAGGGGTTGGACTGGGTGATCTCCAGAGGGCCCTTCCACCACTAAATGACCCTGTGATCACTGCCTGTTCCCTGTGTCCTGGCAGCTATTGCAGCATGCTGTCTTGCTCCCAAACGGAGCGACAAAGAGCTGTCTGCATCCTCTTGGTTGGACAGCAGTGAAGTCCTGGAGAATGCAGTTAAACGTGGACCCAGTGGCTCTGCCACTGGATTTTGTGGGTGTATTTTGTTAGCTCCAAAGAGCGAGCATTTTTACTGTGAGGGTGACTGAGCACAGGTTGCCCAGGGGAGGATGTGGAGACCTGGACATTGCCATGGGCAGTGTGCTATAGGTGGCCCTGCTTGAGCAGGGAGGTTGGACAAGATGATCTCCAGAGATCCCTGCTGACGCCAACCGTGCTGTAAAATACCACATGGCTGCTCTTGAGCGACTCACTTGAACAGAAACGAGGAAATTAATTGAATAAACCTCAAACTTACTTAGAAACAGTTGAAATCGATTTGCACAGAACAGCACGGTGGTGATCTGAAGAGAGGAGAGGGATGAAGACGTGGGTGCCTGCAGGGAGCACAAGTAACCGGGGTGGTCTAAAGGCAGGATTGTTCCGTGCCTGGGTCTGCGTGACCCACCTCTTGCTCCAGCGTAGGGCTGTAATTCTGCCCTTTTAGTTTGCAGTTGGGCTTTTTTGGGGAGTTGTGTTTTTAAAACCCGACCGGTGAAATATTTCAAGTGAGTTTTATTTTCTTTAAAAGTCAAAAAGTTCAGGGCTGTTATTTCTGGCATCGTCTGAAAACACGACATCCAGCCTTAGCAGCCGTCTCGCCTTGAAAATGTGACCGTATCTGAACATTGCATATGCACGGCTGTTCCTCCAAAGCTGTCACGGAAATATGTGCACATCCTCCTCTCTGCTTCGTATGCAGGAAAATGGGTTTGTGTTTAAGTTAAAAGGCTTAGAAACCTTCCTGGAACACAAAGGATGGTGCCACAAGTGCACAGCAGGAACAGGCTGTTGTGTGTATATTGATGGTATGTGACCTTGCAGGGCCTTTAGCCAGGCTGCGTTCATGAGATGTTGGGATCGTGTGTATTTGGTTGTTTTCCATTGTTTTCTGCTGCAATAGAAAAGGTTATTTACAAGAACGATTATTGGTAGTTTTCTGACTTCAGGAATTCTTGTTTATGTTGGAGCTGCAGAACCCTTTAGTTCGTATGCAGTTAACTTACGTTTGCTTTATGTCTTCAAACCATACAGATTGTCACTGACAAACAGTGCACAGAAGTAACTTCCAACAGGTCTGTTGTGTTATGCTGTCTCTAATACATTAAGAGTAATTTGCGTGCAGATCCGCAGCATCAAAACGGGGAGGCCACTGGGGATTTATGGTTTTGAGGAAGGCAGGAAAATGCTTCTGCATGTCTCTTGGTAAGCTGAAAACTTTGGCTTTCTGGAATTGAACAATGAAGTATTCAGAATGTAAAATGTGTTTTTATCAAAACCAATGTGTTGCTGCATTTAAATAAACTAATTACAGCCTATCGGTTTTACCTTACGTATCTATTTACAAAGATCAGTGTTACAGATGGAAATCCATAATGTACTTGTTAATCTGTTCTCTTCTGGTTTGCTCACCAAGCTTCCTATAAAAATATATTTATATATTCGAAGCTGGTACGTTAGTAGGTGCCATTTTCTGAATGCAAAAATAGACTGCATGTGTTGCATAAAATGCCTTTGGGCAGGAGAGGAGGGGGGTATCTGTCTGCTTGACATGGAGCATAAGAGAAAATCTCAAGTATGCTACAGCTAAATATACTGATGAGCAGGCAGCTATGGGGGGAAACGAGTTAAAATTCATGGAGTTTAGTCTTAGGAGCACGGTGAGTGCCAGCAGGATGGTCATACCCAAGCTTTTGTGTGAGAACTCACCACCGTTTTGCTGGGCAGACAACTGGTGGCTTGTGCAGACAAAGGAGTTAGTGCTGTGCTCTTTGTTCTGCGGGGCCTCTGCAGCGCTGCTGCGGAGAATGGGGTGGGCGCTGGGATGCTGAAATCAACTTCAGGTGCTGTAGCCCCACAGATGTTCCAAACCAATTCTCCCTGCCAGAAGTCAGTCTGGAGCAGATGTAAATGAGCACGGCTCAGGGTGATACACGCACCTTGGGATTTGTGGCCGTGCTGCTTTCCTTCGGCTTAGTTCATCATCATCACAGGGAAAGGTGTGAGACTGTTGCAGGCTTTAAAGATACGATCGCTGCAGCAGGAGGCCCTTGCCAAAGGGGCAAGGTTGGTCTGTGTGTTTATCCTTTAGTTACTTCTGAGTTGGTGAGATGTGGTGTGACAAGCTAGTGAAAAAACCCGAGCAGGATTCTGAGGAAGGTAACGTGGTTTTCTGCCACTGTGATGAAGCTGGCAATAGAGTAGAGTGGTGTTCTTCAACTCCTTTATAGGCTGTGCAGTTTTACATTTCGTGGCAGCGTGGTTTAAGATAAAGTGATTCACGGGCAGGGATATAATCATACTGTTCAGCCAAAGGCTGCTGCCCTGTGCAAGGGGCAGCTGAAGGAGGTGGGTAACAGGCACTGTGTGTGTTTGGAGACCCTCTGTCGTGGCCAACAGGGTGCTGGGGGTCCCAGAAGGTACATTGCAGGCTTTTCTTCTCGTGTGTGGGGTTCTGTGTACCGAGCCTAGCCCAGTGGCAGAGGAATTACACTATTACAGAGCATTGCTGCTGCCCACTAAGAAACCTTTGTCAGGGCAGCAGAAGACACAGATTGGAACGGGAAGGCTTGAGGTCCTCCTGCATAGCTACTCCCAGCGAGCAAGGGCTGGTTGCTGCTGGATGGGTGATGTGGAAACTGGAGTCTTTTCCAAGGCAGGTGCATTTCTGAGGAATAAACTTGCCTTAAAAATAATCGGGAACCTTTCACAGCATCTTAGAAGGCTGGAAACCACCTCCTGATGGCAGGGGCCGAGGCTTTGACGTGTGGTGCCTGTAGGTATGGGTATGGTTGGGTGTAATTTCATTTAGTTCACTGGGTTTGCATCCACTACTCTCATCACTGGATTTGACTGTTTAGGTAGCAATGGTTTGCAGATGTTTGGAGACCGCTTCGTGGTAATGTTAGAGTTTGATCACTGGGTTTTGAGGGTTTGCTTATTTTGTGGCTGCTCTGACCTAGAAAGTTCTTGCTATGAACCTGGAAGGAGGTTTGGAAACGAGCCCGTGGCTGAGCTCTCTAAAGTGCTTCTGTCTGCTCAAGTCACTTTTAGCTTCTTTCACTTATTTAGTAGGGTTCAGATAGGAAATCAGAGAGAGCATTGAGGTTGGTTAGCAGCGTCAGCAATACTAAAACATAATGCAAATGACTGTCATATAAAGGAAGGTAAGATAAGGTAGAGGGAGAAGAAGGCAAGTCACTTCAGAAGAGCCCCTCTGAAACTCAGATGTACTCTAATCTGCCTTTCAGATCTGGCTTCTCCTGCCCTCATAGAATGAATCAACCTGACATTTTAGCAGGTTTTTTTAAAGGAAGGGGGTGAAGTGCTTGGAAGGCCTCAAAGGGGTGAAGCAGAGAACATCTGAAGATCATCTTTTATCTGATACCCTGTTTCTTCATGGTGGAGGACCAAAAGTAGGCTAGGTCTTTGTCCCCACTTTTCACTTTATGACGTTTTGTATTGTTTTTCTATGAATCAGGTTTTAGTCAAGGTTTTAGGGCAGGAGTTACCATATATAAGTTTCATATTCGGCATCTTTGATACGTGATTTATCAGGAGGATGTCTTCTGCCCTTCCTGCTACATACTGTATGTATCTCTTTCACTCTGGAAATAATTCTATTCTAAAGTAGACCAGTAACAGGTTTAGAGTAGATATGCAAGTGTATACACATACATGTGTGGAAATATACGCATATGTATGCAGTATGTAGCATCTGGGGTCAGGTGTACAACAGAGGTGTTTTCATTATGTCAGTCCAGCTGTTGCACACATAGGGAAGTTGGCAGAACAGAATTAAGCAGATTTCATCTGAAAGTTGTAGGGGACAAAGTATCTTCAGTTTTTTCTTCCCAAGTCTCTCTTTAGGCTGGAACTGCTTTTGAGTGGTTGTCTTAAAAACGCCCGGTGCAAGTCTATTTGCTTTGCATTCATATTGGTGTTACAAGTCTCACAGATTTCTCTAGGAGCAAAGCTGGGGCAGTGCTGACTCCATCCAGAAGAGTCTCTATTTTCAATTGTCCTCGCTGCTGCTATTGAGCTGTAGAAGCTGACTTAGGTGTTTCTAAGAGAAGCAGTTCTTTATTAGTGGCCTGTCTAGACTTTGAAAGAGCCAAAAGGTGTGAATGCTTTTTAGAATGTGTTAATAACTTTCCTTCTAGTATGGTATGGAAGTGTTTCATTTCAGGGTTCCCTGCAAGTACAGCTTGAGCCATTGGTTTCAACCTCCCGCCCCGCAAAAAGACCCCCACACCCCTTATTTTATATAGACTTGGGTTGAATTGTTAAAGAAAACGACAATGAATTAATAACATATATTTATTTCAACTAAAAGCAATCTGTTAATGTTTATTTTTTGATTCTTTCTAGAGACGCATGGAATCACATTCCGAATTCAAATCAGCGTGAAAGAACTGCTGGATACAGATGTACTGTTAAAGCTGCTGTTTCACTTACCAGTCAATTACCCCTCAACTCTACCAGATATTTCTGTTAGCTCAGACCAGCTTACGAGGGCCCAATGTATGGACGTGAAAGATAAATTACTTGAACAAGCAAAGAAGCATCTTTCTGAACCCATGGTACACGATCTGATTCTTTGGGTACAGCAGCATCTTAAATATGTCATTAAGCAATCAGCAACAGTTTGCCACGAAGAAACTACTTCGTCAAAAGGAACAAGTACAGAGGATGGTATCTGGATGCTCCTTTTGCATTTAGATCACATGAGAGCCAAGGCAAAATATGTCAAAACTGTGGAAAAATGGGCTTCGGATCTAAGGCTGACTGGAAGACTGATGTTCATGGGCAAGATAATATTGATTCTTCTTCAGGGTGACAGGAGCAACATTAAGGTGCAGGAGCAATGAATGTTGACTAGTTCTATTGATTTACCACTGAAACCTATGTGTCTGAATATTTTGTGTGTGTTTTGCTAAGATTAACAATTTGGAAGCAAATTGATCATTAGGAGAATAGGAAAGCCCAGCAACTTCATGCTCTATATCAGGAAAAGAAAGTATTCTATGAGAAAGAAACCAGTGATACCTGTAGCCCTGTGACCTATATTGCTTTGCTTCCCACTGTAGTTAGACCCCTGTGTTCCCTGTGTATCCTGACTGTAATGTGCCTGGGTTCAGTCTCCTCTATTTCCCAAATGCCTCAGAAAACAGAAAGCTTGTGATTAGAAGTAAACAGCAGATATATTTCTAGCTCATTACTGTCTCTTTTCTTGCCCTAGACCACATGTTGCTCGTAGCGCACACCCGGGCTTTGAACTTCTGTCTCTACTTAAGAACTCCCACTGCATTAGGCAGCTTTTTGTGGTGATATTAAAGGGGAATGTTCTGACTTTTCAAACTCATGTTCTCTAGATCACCGAAGACTGTACGTAACTTCAAGCTGATCAATAGAAACAGTCATGGACTTTATGGGGTGGGCACTTCCAAAGTCTGGTTGCTATGTGCTGAAAAAACCCTGTATGTTTTGTATAGGTTTTTGCATTTTACTAAACCTCAAAGTTACTAAGGTGATATTTAATATTTTACTCTTTTTTTTTTTTCACTTAGGAGTACTTGATTCTTCAGAAAACTTCTAAGGTAGATGTGGACTCAAGCGGAAAGAAATGCAAGGAGAAAATGATGAGTGTACTGTGTGAGACGAAAGTACAGGCACAGCAGAAATGGTATAATTTAGTAGTGTTGTGGGGAGAAAAGTAACAGAATTGAGAATTACATTGGGACAGATCTGGGCATCTTCATGAGTTACCCTTTTACAATTTCAGGTTTCAGACGTTTGAAATCAAAGAATATTCAACACTGGATGAGCTACAAAAGGAATTTGAGACTGCAGGACTTACAGCTCTTTTCTCTGAGTTTGTGCCTCCTCTCCTGAAATAGAAGAAAACACTGGACCTTTGAGCAAAGCAGTAGTAAACTGCAGGTGCTGATCGAAGACAGAATGTAGCCATCTTCTTGCAAGAAGGAGAAAGCAATTCCTACACTAAGAACTGATAATTTCTTGACCTTTATGTATTGATAACTTTTTCCAAGGAACGTGGAGTTAGTTGTGATAACTGCATGGTAAGCATGAGTGATGGGGAAGAAATCATGTTAAAGTAGTAGTCTTCTAGTTAGACTCTGTTTTGCCATCCCTGTTTTTCAGAGTTTTGAGTTTTGTCTCTCCTGGTGGTGGTTTGTCATAATGGCCTGCTAGAAAGCATGATTCATTCTGCTTTGAAAGCTTATATGAAGGTACTTCTATAAAAAGAATGTCAAACACAGATTTGAATATGTGAGGACAACATATTCTTAATACCCCTTAGGAGTTCATCTGCTGACTTCCCCTTCTCCATTTATTTGATTATAAATGCTAGACTGTTGATGTGAAGAAAAAAACTCACATCACATGTGGCCTGAAAAAACTTCAAGTGTCTTTTTGAATGTTAGTTTTTGTTCTAAAATGCACAAACACACCTAAGTGGAGAATTGAAACTGATTGAAAACCTCAGGTAAAGCCAGTTGTAGTATTTTCTTTGATGGTTTACAGATTCTTTTTTGAACTTGATCTGGTTTTGCTGTCTGTGCATCTATAGATATCTTGGTTCAATTAAAATGTCAGAGCAGTCTATATACAGACTTCAGTCTTGTGCCTCTCAAGACTTCTGTCAAGTCTTCTGTCATTTGAGAAGCTGGTAAGTTCTACACCCTGTTAAAATTTCCTCACCTTTAGCTTTTCTACAGATTAAGCCATGAAAGATCTGTTTGCCTAGAGGGAATTGGATACTTATTTCTTACAATTATTAATGTCCTTTGGTTTCTGTTTTACCTGATACCATTCTCTAGCAAGACTAGATAAATGGTCCAGTAGTAGAAATTTTGAAGTCACCAGTATCTCAGCAGCTAGCAATGCCATTTCAATTTGTTCTAGCATGTAGCTAAACATGTGCTGCACTGCTCTCGAAACCTCACTCCTAAAACCCAAATGTCTCGTGTGTTCTTTGTTCACTGAAGAGATTTGATCAATTCAGTGTAATCTAATTTATCTCTGCTGTACTGGGGGAAGACTGGTGCAATTTGGTTAGTTCCCATAGTGTGGTCTGGCAGATCAGTAGGTAAGACACTGTGATTTCCAGTCTCAAACTCGGACCATACCTCTGGATGTATACTAGAAAAGCTGCTAAAGCAAACTATTACAGGTTTGTAGGTTTTACTGTTTGAGCTACCAAATGCATTACGAGTTGTAGACGGTTTCAGGGTTTCTTAGTTTTTAAGGAGTTTGGTGATTTTCCTAATATGGAGTGTGTCAAATACTCATGTTGCATGTTATTTTTTGCACCGAGGTGTATTTAATGAGAGAGTAGCAAAAGATCTTCTTAACGAGCCTGTTACGTGTAGCACATAGAGTGCTTCAGGCACAGCAGAAAACGGACTGGGTTAAACAGGTTTTACAAATCTGTTCTGTGTTATTTTGAAATAGCTTCTGGAGACAAAGGAAATGGAATTTCCTATCACTTTAAATGTATGTGCAGATGATGTTTCACTTTTCTAAAGAAGAACAATACAGAAGTATATTTCAAATATTAAAATAATATGTACTTTAAATTACAGTGTTCAGAATTGAGCTGTTCTCAGTTCAAATATCTATGTTGAAAAACCATGTGTCAGTGGAGCATAAAGCCTTGAGAAGGTGCAGAGGCTCTCTCCTTACTCTATGTGATAGATCTGAAATGTACAGTGTAAGAAAATGTCATCAGTGTCTCTCTGCAAATCTTAATATTGTAAGGTTTTGCCAGATGGATTTTCTTTTCTCAGCCAGATCTTTACTTTAAAATGCTCCACTTTTCTGGAAGGAGAAGAGCAAGGTACTTCAGCACAACCTCTATCACAGCCTTGGCCATTAAAGCCTAGCTGGGGCCTTACCCAGCATGCATATCAGTCAGTTGTGAATGCTTTCGGTTGATTTGGGGAATTGGGGTGAATAGCATACCTAATCAGATGATCCCAAACTGCATGTGACTGCAGAGGTAACTGAGGCACACAGTTGCTGTGGTCATCTTTCTGGCAAGATTCAGCAAGTTGTTCCTTCCTCCTAGTCAAGCTATTGTAATTAGCTGCATAAGAAAAGCTGTTTGTAGGGGCAGTGGTTGCCAGTTGCACTTGGATATAAACTCATGTATTTTCTTGAATATTACTGCCTGGTGCCTTCTTGGTTAATTATTTGGTGAGAGCCAGCATTCTGCAACAGCCAAGTGGAAAAAGTAAGAGAGCAGATAGATTACAATTAGGTAAGTTGCAGTTGTCTTCTTGCCAAATGAAGTTGTTCTAAGAAGCTGGATGATTTCCGTGTTTCAGGAGTTGTGAAAAGCAGTTTATACAGTGGACTTTTATCATAGTTGAATTTGCTACTCACTAACTTAAACTGGACAAATCAAGTCCAGTGCAGGAAAGGACTGCAGGTTTTTTGCTTTGGTTTGACTTGCTTCAGGAGAATTACAAATCTGATCAGCTTGATACTATTCAGACAGCAGAGAACATGAAAACTGATAACAGTCTGATTCTGTCAAAGCAAATGCTTTGCCTACCTGTCAATCAGTCACTTAGTTTGAAGGGTAGGGGGAAATCTTGTGTTCAGGCAAGTAAACAAATATTTTTAAAGGTTGTTCTTTTGGAAGGATGTTGGAGTTGTCTGTTCACTGAGGATTTGTTTGCATCTATTAGAAAAGGAGATGGGCGAGCCTCTGAGCCCCTGGGGCACAGAAGTCATTGAGATGCGTACTGCGGAGCATGTTCCTGCCCTCCGAGGGAACTGAAGCAGACACAGAAGGACAATATGCAGGGAAGCAAAGTCCTGAGAATCCTTTAAAGAATGCCTATCAGTGTCTAAAAGGTTAGTGAAGTGTATGTAGCTATTGGAATCAGACAATTCAATTGCAAGGGAAAAGCAATCCGTAAAGAAAAAGAAAAGGTTTAGCAAATAAGAAGCTAGCTTTCTTGTGGATACTGTATTACAATTAGTTCCTCAAACAGCACGGTTAGTAAAGCCTTGCTTCCTGTGGACTTCCTTGCAGAAGACTCATGCTTGGTGGTACTCTCCAGGTGAGTTCCCCAATGCCTCATAATGATCGTGTTCTCTGCAGAAACCGTTAAAGTCTCAATAGCATTTTTCTTCACTGCTGCCTGTTCTCCTCAAAGCTGTAGGTTCTTGGTTTCTTTCAGGCTGTTAACCTCTCATTTCAATTGAAAGGAGTTAAATTAAAAAGTTGGGGAAGAATTGTGTAGTATCACTGTAGTTTCCTTTGAAAATCAGGCAGAAATGAAAGCAGTGGCAATAGGACTGACAACTTGCAGATTCAAGTTTTTAAGACAAAACTGAAGTTTGCTTGGTCTTTTTGAATCCCTTGGCTTATTAAGTGTGAAGAAAACCCCAAACCCAACATCATCCCTATTTGCCCAGTTGTTTTTGCATGAATACATCGCATCCAAAGCTTCCATTCTGATCGTGGAGAGACGTGCTGGTTCTGCAGGAGGGGGTGTGCTAAACAGCAGTTGAATGAGTGCCTTGGGTGAGCGTCTGCTGGTCTCTACAAGAGGTTGGCTTGGCTGTGTCAGGCAGGTTTGTTGGAGAACTGGTCACTTTTTCTGCTCCTTTCATATGATTCACGAGTGTTGTATGTCTGCATTTTCTGTGGTGTGAGAAGAAGGATGCTCTGGTCATCTGGGGAGCACTTCTCATTATGTGGCACGTGTAAACTGAAGTGACTGAAAGGGCAACATGAGATTCAGGTGATTTTTGCTATTACTTGTAACATCAGGCCTTGGAACTTCTACACCAGAATAGTGATGTCTGTGGAAACAAGGACGTTGGAGGGCTAACAGATTAAATTACTCAATTCTGCAAGAAATCCAAATTTCTACTTCTTATTATTGCTTTTATTATCGTCATCTCTTGGCAAGAAACTTTTATGAGCAGCACTTACAGTGTATTAGCCTACCACTCAGGAGAACAGCATAACGGTTGGACTTGATCTTCAAGGGCTTTTCCAACCTGGTTGATTCTGTGATAACTTCAGTGGAAGTAACGCGACGTTCCAGAGGAGGGGAATACTTTTAATGGGGGACATCATCACTGTTGGGAATTCACCAGCTTCTTTCACTTACTCAGTCTCACTGAGATTTTAATTCTTGCACCCTGCCCCTAACCCCCCTCCCTACTTGTTAGTTGCTGTTACAGGGAGGATGAGACACTGTAAGAACTCAGAGCTGAAAAACCAGTTAATGGAGCGTAGATTTGATTGTCTTGTGAAGAAGGCTGATTTTGGGGGTTTGTAGTTCTATCTGACTTTCCTATAAGGTGACTATTTGCTGCTTATTTATTTATAGTTTAATAAAGCCTGCATATGGGTGATTTAAAACTTAGTGTCCCTTGATCTGTTCAGCTTTATCTATGAAAATGCAAACATAATCATGTTATAGTTCATTCGAAATCAGATGATGAAATGGTGCACTCACTGTATTTCTGCCAGAGTTTGAGGCTAAAATTGCTTATATTATGAAATAGTGCAATTTCTGGAATCAGCTTTCATATATTTTATAGTGATATTAAGCATTATCATGCTGTCTCTTTGTGTGTGACACATACAACGCTGGCAGCACCCTGTTCTGGTTTGATCTTTTAAATGTATGCTTAATTTTACCTTATGCAAGAGTTAGTGTTTATCTGCTTAATTATAGACATAAATGGAGCTTGAAAAGTAAATCTGCTAACATCATTTTGCAGTTATTGTTCTGTGCTATTTTCATATGTTGGCTTTTATATTAGTTTGTGTTTTCTAACCTCCAAGTATTAACCTGCAGTGAAGAGAACTCTTCAGTGACAGAAAAATTTACCTAAAAGACATTAATTTAAGGAATTCTTTAGACTCTAAAAATTAATCCATTAATGTTTTCAGTTAGTTAT